GTGATTGGCTGATTAGAAATTAAGTGTTAACAAGCAGTTGGGCAGGTGTACCTAATAAAGTGGCCGGTGAGTGTATATTGTAATTACTTCTATTTTATGTTGAATCTTGAGTTAAATCTACTGCATTATATTTTATATAGTTGGACCAATGGTTGAAAAGATTAAGTGGAAATATGGTGTTTCTACATTAGACAGGAGATTACAGCCTATTAGCCAGGACAACTGCTGGTGGGCCAAATCAAATGGCTTGGCAGGCCAATTTTGGCCCACGGGCCCCACTTTGGGCACCTCTGGTATAGATAGAGGGTGTGACAGAAATAATCGTAATTGTAATAATCGAAAAAATAACTGGCAGATTAGTCAATTATTAAAATAGTCAGTAGTTAAGCCAACATTTATATTGTTATGAAACATTGTTTCATAACACACTCAGGGCAGTATCTAAACCAAAATATTGACTTGTAAAACATTGTCCCAATTCTTAACCAGATATTGTAAATGCTCTTAGTTTTATTTGAAAGTTCTTTTCAAGCTCATTCACAATAAAAAACATTTTTAAAAAAACTTCAAAATGTTGTTAACATCAAAAGGAGAACAAATGTTTACAGGTTCAKGATCACATATTTCAAATAAAGTTTTGTATTAACAATACAACCATATAATCTAATGGTTGATATACAATACAAAATGGTTTACAAGCTAAATAGGCCAATTTTATAACAAAATAAAACAGCAGAAAGAACYGTGTCCATGCTGATTCTAGATTCTGTATTTATTGGCAGCGCCTCGTTAGTCTAAGGTTAAACAGGTTTAAAACCAGCCTGTAAAAGTTTGTCTTTAATCAAAGAGAAGAAAAGCTCCTAAATATATAATGACTGTTCATCTGCATGTAAAATAACTATTAAATAGACAAAAACAGTGTGCATGCTCGGACACACAAACATCAACAATGTTTGAGAGACAGAGRGGCTACTTGCAGAGAACACCGTTTYCAACACTGCAGCGATGAGCTTCTCCAACAACAAACCCCCCCGACTGACAGCCTTCCTAACAGAAGACCACCAGCGACCGTCAGACCCCATCATACTAACAACAAAGTGACAACTGTTAACACAACACAGCTGATGCTGACGTAAAGTTAAGGACCCAGAATGCTAAGATAGTTAGCCTACAAGCTAACATAAATATCACCTGTCGTATCAAAACGACACACTGGGAGACTCAGGTAAGACGTTTCTTAAATCTCATTAACACATTAAAAGTAATGCCAGTTACGAACCGAAGCACAGGACCCAGATAATAAGGTTCGTGGAGTCCGGACTTGCAGTGCTGCTGTCTCTCCTGAAATCAGTCAAAACACAGACTAGATTTGCGGAACAGCGTTTTGTAATTGTTAGCCAATCAAAGCAGAGAAAGGGTTTTATTCCTCCAATCAGGTATGAGTAGGGGCAGGACTAATTTTGACTCCGTCACCACTGAACTAGAGAAACACTGGACTGGACGGACCTGGTTAAAGCTACGCTGGAAGGATGAGAATTTGTGCCGCCATCTTGAAAAGACCTTTATGGTGCAACGGATGCTACTGTCACGTAGCATGTCGTAAAAAAATAAATAAATAAACTTAGCGTTAAAGTTAAATGTTTCACCAATAATTATTAGAATTATTGTAGCAACAACTTCAAATAACTTGGCATTGTATTTCATCAGTGAGTATGAAATCAACGTAGTTCATAAATCAGTCAACATTTGCCTTTTTGTTGCATGCAT